AATCAGGTTTCCATTAAACTGTTTTATGCAAGTAAGTACATGACTAGAGCACACGTGCCAATACCAAAGTGGGCACACTCGCTATATAACACCATTTTATTTGTGAGAAAACCATCAGTAGAGTTTAAAATGCGATGGAAACCCATTTCACTTGTATATTTTATTCAGTACATGTGAATTTAACCACAAATGGTATTTTTATGTGCACTACGACATCACGCACATGAGAAAATGTGCATATTGTTTTTATATTTTAGAATATTCGTATCAAAATCTGTCGCCAATTGGATGGAAACCTAGCTATTGTTGTAAAATGACTTGTTGTTTACCTTATTTTCGCTGCACTTTGAAATGTAGGTGGGGCAATGTGCTGGCAGGGGCTTATTAGCATATTTGGGTGCATGGTCTAAAATATGGTGCATTTGTGCCAACCATTAGTGGAAGTGCCTTATTTGTTCCTTATTTGGGCTGGGCTGGGCTGGGCTGGGCTCCCAGTACATTGCCCCATCTACATTTCAAAGCGCAGTGATGAATGTACCTTATATTCAAAATATTGGGTAGAAAAATATACCATTATAGTAGACAGTGCACACATTTACCCTAAAAGGAACCGAACTGAAGGTACCTTATGTGTACCTTTGACATTTTTGTACCCTAGGGTAAAACCCTGTTGTGACGAGGTGTGAATGAAGGAGTCAGGCGCAGGAGGTAAAATACCGAAGTCCAGAGTTTATTCCGTTTACATAAATCAAACGCCCCAAGCGTCAAACGAAACTATTACAAGGGAAACATCCACCTTGGCATAAACACAGTGAATAGTAGCTCAACCAAGCTACACGCTCTCACAACAAACAATCACTCACAAAGACAAGGGGAACAGAGGGAACACTTATACACATGCTAATTAGGGGGATGAGCACCAGGTGTGCGTGATTGACAAGACATGACAAGTGGAGTGATGAGAATGGGATCGGCAGTAGCTAGTACTCAGGTGACGACGAACGCCGAAGCCTGCCTGAACCAGGAGGGGGGTCAGCCTCGGCGGAAGTTGTGACATCTGTACCCTAACCGTACCCTAATTTTGAGCGTGTGGATATAAGTTCTTTCTAATAAAGATGTACCTGGTGGTACTGCTGAAATATTAATGCACTTTTGCCTAAAAGCTTGCAAAAGCATCATTATTTACCAGCATGCTCTATTACAGTTTCATAATTTTTTGTATTGTTTGTTTCAATATCTGTGTTATTGCATGTACATTGATTGATTAATGAATACATTAATTAATCTTATGCTTCACAAAGATAAATAATATAAATGTTTCTAAACTAATCTATTCTGTTTGTTGGACTTCTTGCACCCGTTACTGAAATGGTTGTTCCAGTTTAGATGGTTTAGGTAGTCCATTTAAAAAAAATTCTGAATGCAGAAAGTGGGTGAAAAATAGCTCCAATCGTTGGATATCCTCATTCAGGCTGTATTCCGATAGGAGTAAGACACAACTTTGCATGCCACCATAATATGACTTGATGCTGGTTTTGTGAGTGACCAGCATATGCTAGTGACCAGTGACCAAAACACAGCGAAAGCTGGTCTACGCTGTTTTTTTCAGCAGGGTACTTATTGAGGACATGGTGTAGTAGTCTAGTTTGTCTTTGTAGTACTGCTGACCTGCCTATCTTTTGTGTTTGGAGATCCCTACATACTGAGAGGGTGTTTATGTGCGATCATGATTAATGTGTTTGTAAAATGTATGGTTTTACACCAAATAATGGTTTAAGGCCTCATCCCTGTACTCCCGAGTGGCGCAGTGGTCTAAGGCACTGCATCGCAGTGCTAGCTGTGCCACTAGAGATCCTGGTTCGAATCCAGGCTCTGTCATAGCCGGCCGTGACCGGGAGACCCATGGGGCAGCGCACAATTGGCCCAGGGTGGGGGAGGGAATGGCCGGCAGGGATGTAGCTCAGTTGGTAGAGCATGGCGTTTGCAACGCCAGGGTTGTGGGTTCGATTCCCACGGGGGGGCAGTATGAAAAATTTTATGCACTAACTGTAAGTTGCTCTGGATAAGAGCGTCTGCTAAATGACTAAAATGTAAATGTAATCCTCTGCACTGATCTCATTGTACATACATGCCGTTATGTGCCTTACCTGTACCTCTCTGTATTCCTATCACACAGGGAGTGCCCTTCCCCTCCTGCAGCTTCCATTGACCAGTACTATCAGTGTGACTGCAGGATGTGGATGAGAGGGGATATTTCTGCCCTCCTGATCCATGTGAAATAGCGGACCCCTATGGCCAAGGAAGGTGCAGAGATGGGCAGTATTTCTGTTACACGTATTTGAAATATGTATTTCAATTACATCTGTGTAATTTGCATTACACTGGGCTATTACTACACGCCAATGTATTTTGTAACAAGATACTTTTGAGAGCTGTAATTTGTATTTTCAAAATACAAAACACTTTCTATACCATTTTTTATAGTGGTTCACAAGTTTGTGGCCCCCTTTCACTCTATATTGGTATCAGAAGTCTGATGGCACTATGGTGTGATAAGAGTGTCTGCTAAATTAACTAAATATACATGTACTGTATATGTAAAAATGGACAATTGCAAGGAGTATTATTCTAATGAGCTCCGCCCCGAAAGAAGGCCATGAATAATACCCAGTGTACTTTGCAGTTCATTTTGGTATGTTCATTTTCATATTTACATTTACGTCATTTAGCAGACGCTCTTATCCAGAGCGACTTACAGTTAGTGAATACATATTTTTTTTATACTGGCCCCCCGTGGGAATCGAACCCACAACCCTGGCGTTGCAAACGCCATGCTCTATCAACTGAGCTACATCCCTGCCGGCCATTCCCTCCCCTACCCTGGACGACGCTGGGCCAATTGTGCGCCGCCCATGAGTCTCCCGGTCACGGCCGGCTGCGACAGAGCCTGGATTCGAACCAGGATCTAGTGGCACAGTTAGCACTGCGATGCAGTGCCTTAGACCACTGCGCCACTCAGGAGACATATATACCTTTACATTTTGGTAATTTAGCAGACACTCTTATCCGGAGTGACTTACAGTCAGTGCATTCAACTAAGGTAGATAAACAACAACATATCACAGTCATAGCAAGTAAAACATTTCTGTAACTGTTACTGACAATGTTGTTGCTGTTCGGACCACCTACTAGCAAATGTATTTCTATATTTTAATTAAATACATTTCAAAATAGTTGTATTTTGTAGTTTATTTTGATACATTGCTCTTTATGGTATTTTGTAATTGTATTTTGTAATTTTTGCCCCTCCCTGGGGAGGTGATAGTATGGCAGACTTGTTACAGAGTCTTCAAGTGCAAAGTGGTTAATTTACAGGTTCAGGAGTGCAGGGTGTCCATATGAACAGTAAAATGTTCGTTCTTAACATCGGCAAAACACTTGTAACTTGCAAACTTATTTCCCAATAAATGTATGTAAGTAACTGTGATGTGCCTGTGTGTCTGATTAGGCTAGTAGAATAAACTGTATAGCCAAACAAATGCTGATAAACGCTCAAACATAAACAAATTGTCTATGTAGGCCTATAGGAGATGTAGCCTGACAGTAGGCCTATCAGGACCACAGACAAATAAACAATAAATAGTCCGGTCATATTCATGCACAAATGGTTTGGTCCATGAATCTGGGGATTAGCACATTGGTAGCCTATAAGGTAGCCTAGATGTGCAAGTAATGGTGCTGGCAACAGTCAACATCATCACACAATCCACCGTAGCCTACTAAATGGGAATCTCAAGACTGACAACACACATGTTAGTATACTGAGACAGTATTGTGTGTGTGCCACCACAGACTCAAGGCAGACGTGTCAGGGCACACAGGTCCTGTTGAACAGGATCTGAGACAGTCCAACTGACACACAATCCTACAGGTAAGAGGATACCGTGTGTGTGTGTGCATGTGTGCGTGTGTGTGTGTGTGGTGTGTACACACATGTTTTAAAATTTTGATGGAGAGAAGATGGTCTCAACTTGTATAAAAAGGAAGGCTACTGAAAATCATGTTTGTGCTCTAGATTCCCCCTTGTGGTGGCTTGGTGAACAACATCAAACTTTAAGAATGGCCTAAATCTGATTACGTCAACTACTGCACAGTATAACATTATCTTATCAGACCAACACAGTGATAGAGTAATATCTTGCACACCTATACAACATACCTTGGGTTGTCTGATAATGATGGAGGGTCTGGGGATGATAGGGTACTTCACCCCAAGCTCTAAACCAATCACCAGTTCAGGATCCCCCTCAACGCTGTCTGACAGGCAATGGCAGGCCAGAGGTGTCTTAAAGCTGTGGCTCTCCCTCCCTGGCGGTTGACCATTGCAGTTGGAGTTGGTGCCATTCAGAGTTCTTGTTCTGATGTGTGTAGATATAAAGCTGACAATTCTGTGGTGTGGCTGGTGTTCTAGAGGGGGGTCTGGTTTGGGAACTGGTTGGCAGAGAACCGGGCCCACCACCACCGGGGGTTCTAGATCAGTTCTGCTGGATTGGGAGGGGTCCATGTCCAGGGACTGTGTAGGGTTGGCTGTAACGTCTGCAGGACTGCCGAAACAGTGAAGCAGCGCAGAACAGGGGAGACCGTGCATGCTGATGGAATGTAGAGTCAAAGGGAAAACAACCAAACAAAGACCCCAATGACCACACCACTGTCTGGGTGTGTTTCCCCACAACGGGTCTGTCAGGAGTCAGTCAAGCCACAGTGTTGTCACCCTCAAGATCCTGCAAGAGACACCTGTTCTCTCCTTTCACCCAGGTTAATATCCTCAGCGCCAGAAGAAGAGGAATTCTAAGGCCATTCTTCACTGTGTTGATGAGTGCACAGAATATCCACCGGTCAGTCACACTATCTTACCCTGTGTGTTTTTGAGTCCTCCAGCTACAACACACCTTTTTCCTCCACCCATGGTTCAGTATATGATCTAAATACTTAGTAAGCCAATGCTTTATCTCTGTCTGGGTCAGTCTGGGTCTGTCTGGGGTTCCTGGTCTCCACTCCTCTGCCTGGTTGTGACTAGCTCTTCTCTTCTTCTCTCCTCTCTCTCTCTCTGACAGTACAAAGGCTGGAATAACTCTCTCTTCAACACAGTGAACCCCTCTACCTGCCTACCTGCTGTGTGTGTGTGTGTGTGTATGTGTGTGTGTGTTTCAGGGGCAGCGTGTGTGTGCTGGGTGTCTGATTACCTGTGCAGGTACTACCCAGTCTGCCAGTCAGTTAGTGGAATGCTGGTGCTGGGCCACGCTGCTCAGGTGCAGCTTGCCTCTGGTTACCCACTGATTCAGAGTCTGTTAGCTTTAAACCTTATTTCAATCTTCACCAGTCTGTGCTAATGAACACATCTGATCCTAGACCAGGAGTTAGGGTATACAGGGTCACTTGTGTGTTGTGGTGGGTTGGATATTGAGGTCTGTGACAGCTCAGGTTACAGCACTGAAACTGATAGGCCTCAGGTGAGAGAGAGAGAGGGAGAGAGAGGGAGAGAGAGAGCTTCGCATATCTCCCCACAGAACAAGAGAGAAAGGAGAATACAGGGTAAACTGCTCTAGGGTGACTGACTGCTACTTTAATATTTATACAGGCGAATAAAGCATCCGTTTATCAGTCGCTCATTCAGCCCACGCTATTGTCAGACATACATATTTTATTACTCTTTATAATGATGAGGGGTGAGGCAGCTAGCTTCATATTTAATTTCAAATTGCAAAAACATTTAACTTCTTATACAGCAAGACGTAGACTGGATGCACAAGATAGTTCACAGAGAAGACAACAGTCAACACAGAATACACAGGACAACGTACATGAAATAACATGAGCATTTGGGTTAAATGGATACTTCAGGATTTTGAATGAAGCCCTTTATCTACTTCTCCAGAGTCAGATGAACTTGTGGATACCATTTTTATGTCTCTGCATGCAATTGCTAACTAGCGTAATGACCGGAAATCTATGGTAACTGCTAGCATGCTGGTAGATACCAAAGATTTCCAGTCATTGCGCTAGTTAGCATTGGCTCACACAACTACCTCTATCTTCCTTCATACTGGATGCAGATACATAAACATGGTATCCATGAGTTCATCTGACTTTGGGGACATAGATAAAGGCCTTCATTCAAAATCCCGAAGTATCCCTGTTTGGTCTATAATAGATTATAATAATTATCTAAAGTAGGCCATGACTCATTGACAGACACATCTGTTTCAGCAGGAGTATTGACAAATCATGGTGTAAACAATAATCCATTTACCTTTCTGAAATATGATACACTCTGCAAGCAAACTGAAATAGGCAGATCCATAAAAATGCCTTTGCACTCTGTCTCTCACCTTCTCTCTCGACATCTCTCTGTATACCTCTCTCTCGCTCTCTCTCTCTCTCTCTCCCCCTCCCTCCCTGGGTTAAGCAGCTACGTGGCAGGGCATTGTTACACATGGACAAATTGAACAATGCGCTGGAGATTAAACATGCATGATCTGCTTTGTCTGAGGATGTAAACAGAGCTTTAGTTTACACTCACTACCTAGCAGGCTTAGACTCACACACACACACACACACACACACAGACACACAGACACACGGTTACAACCCGGATTGTCTATGCATCACAAGACTGTTACCCACTGAGCTAAAGCCAAAGCATTACTTCGGGGAGCTACCCAATCTTCAGTTCTCAGGCAAGATTCACCGAATGAGGAGGAATATGGGATTCCGTTTTTGTTCTTATGATCTGTCTGGACATTCAAAACTGTCATAGTTTAAAGTCAGTCCTGTTGGTATGATGTCGCTTCCAGAGATATGTCTAGACTAGAGCATAACTGACCTCTAGTGGTCAATATTAGAAAATGCGCTTGTCCTGTCTGAAATACATTGTTATCATATACAGTTGAAGTCGGAAGTTTACATACACTTAGGTTGGAGTCATTAAAAATCATTTTTACAACCACTCCACAAACAGGGAATTTTTACTAGAATCAAATGTCAGGAATTGTGAAAAACTGAGTTTAAATGCATTTGGCTAAGGTGTATGTAAACTTCCGACTTCAACTGTACAGTGCAACAAGCTCTCACAGTCTCACGTCAGAATTAGACGTTCATTCATGTTTCTCAAACGTCAAATTCGAAGTGTTTGGTTACTTCTTTGTATCGTTCCAAGGTTAAGTTTAGGCATTATCTCTGAATTCTTAAGATTAGGCATTAACTCCGAATGGTTAAGGTAAGGGTTAAGGTTTGGGATAGGCTTAAAATAACAACATCAAAAACATGCAGCCTTTGTAACCAGAGGCAAACGCTTACGCCCATCTGCCATTCACAATACCTAGTTAAAGGTAACAGCGCTCACTGTTGCCCCTAGTGGCCGGCCAGTTTCCATGTCATCTCCTGACGTCCTCAGACATGGATGGACGTTGAATACTGACTTGTATCACGGTTGACCTGCCTGATACATTCAGGTCCATAATTATTGGCACCCTTGGTAAAGATGAACAAAAAAGACTGTATAAAAGAAATACAAATACTGAGATCAATTAAGAGTGATGCTAGGGAGCGCTTGATAAAGGGGGCGTAATCAGGGTAGTGATGGAGTACAGGTGTGCCTCATGATGGGGCGCAGGTGTGCGTAATGATGGGTTGCCAGGACCTGTGGTTAGTAGACCGGCGACGTTGAGCGCCGGAGAGGGGGAGCGGGAGTACTGTCGTGGTCAAAAGTTTTGAGAATGACACAAGTATTGGTCTTCAAAGTTTGCTGCTTTAGTGTTTTTAGATATTTTTGTCAGATGTTACTATGGTATACTGAAGTATAATTACAAGCATTCCATAAGTGTCAAAGGCTTTTATTGACAATTACATTAAGTTTATGCAAAGAGTCAATATTTGCAGCGTTGACCCTTCCTTTTCAAGACCTCTGCAATCCGCTCTGGCATGCTGTCAATTAACTTCTGGGCCACATCCTGACTGATGGCAGCCCATTCTTGCATAATCTATGCTTGGAGTTTGTGGGTTTTTGTTTGTCCACCCGCCTCTTGAGGATTGACCACAAGTTCTCAATGGGATTAAGGTCTGGGGAGTTTCCTGGCCATGGACACGAAATTTCGATGTTTTGTTCCCCGAGCCACTTAGTTATCACTTTTGCCTTATGGCGAGGTGCTCCATCATGCTGGAAAAGGCATTGTTCGTCACCAAACTGTTCTTGGATGGTTGCGAGAAGTTGCTCTCGGAGGATGTGTTGGTATCATTCTTTACTCATGGCTGTGTTCTTAGGCAATATTGTGAGTGAGCCCACTCCCTTGGCTGAGAAGCAACCCCACACATGAATGGTCTCAGGATGCTTTACTGTTGGCATGACACAGGACTGATGGTAGCACTCACCTTGTCTTCTCCGGACAATCTTTTTTCCGGATGCCCCAAACAATCGGAAAGGGGATTCATCAGAGAAAATGACTTTACCCCAGTCCTCAGCAGTCCAATCCCTGTACCTTTTGCAGAATATCAGTCTGTCCCTGATGTTTTTCCTGGAGAGAAGTGGCTTCTTTGCTGACCTTCTTGACACCAGGCCATCCTCCAAAATGATTTGCCTCACTGTGCGTGCAGATGCACTCACACCTGCCTGCTGCCTTTCCTGAGCAAGCTCTGCACTGGTGGTGCCCCGATCCTGCAGCTGAATCAACTTTAGGAGACGGTCCTGGCGCTTGCTGGACTTTCTTGGGCGCCCTGAAGCCTTCTTCACAACAAATGAACCTCTCTCCTTGAATTTCTTGATATTCCGATAAATGGTGGATTTAGGTGCAATCTTACTAGCAGCAATGTCCTTGCCTGTGAAGCCCTTCTTGTGCAAAGCAATGATGACGGCACGTGTTTCCTTGCAGGTAACCATGGTTAACAGAGGAAGAACAATGATTTCAAGCACCACCCTCCTTTTAAAGCTTGCAGTCTGTCATGCTGATTGAGTTAGAATAACAGAGTGATCTCCAGCCTTGTCCTCGTCAACACTCTCACCTGTGTTAATGAGAGAATCACTGACATGATGTCAGCTGGTCCTTTTGTGGCAGGGCTGAAATGCAGTGGAAATGTTTTTGGGGGATTAAGTTCATTTTCATGGCAAAGAGGGACTTTGCAATTAATTGCAATTCATCTGATCACTCTTCATAACATTCTGGAGTATATGCAAATTGCCATCATCAAAACTGAGGCAGCAGACTTTGTGAAAATTAATATTTGTGTCATTCTCAAAACTTTTGACCACGACCGTAGACGGGACACCACTGGTCCTGGGGCCCTTGTTAAGGTCAACAGCATCATGAACGTTACCAAGTACCAGGACATTTTAGCCAAAAACCTGGTTGCCTCTGCCAGGAGGCTGACACTTGGCCGCAAATGGATCTTCCAGCAAGACAATAACCCCAAGCGCTAATCAAAATCCACAAAAAATTGTTAATTGACCTCAAAATCAAAATGTTTGTCTCTGGACCTGAACTCCATTTAATTGATGAGGGCAGTGCATAAGAGCAGATGAAGGATATCAAGGATCTGGAAACATTCTGTATGAAGGAATGGTCTAAAGATCCCTCCCTACATGTTCTCCAGTCTCATAAAACATTTTCGAAAAAGCCTCACCCACTGGGCAAAAACAGTTGTTTCCACATTATTTCAATCAAAAAAATCTATGTGATGTCTTGAATCAACGTGGAAAACTGATTGGATTTGCAAAAAGTCAGTGTAAGGGAATTTCGTATTTTTTTCAACCAACTTTTGAATCTGAATCTGTGCCCAGTGGGCATTGTCGTTATCCTCGCAAGGGTAGGGTGCTAGGGTATAGAGAAACAGTAATGGTATCTTTTGGTAGGCACAAACTCCTCAATGGTTCGTTGGAGAAAGCCTATGGGGAAATGAATGGCGTTTCTGTAGGGTTTTTGAACAAATGCCGAAAATAAGGCCTATGATAAACACAGTTTTGAGATCTTATACGTTTTGTTCTATGATATAATCTTCATTAGCTAACGTCACTTTTTGTGAATTTTGAAGCCTTTATGAACCTATTTTATAAAAGCACATAAAGGCTTCATAATTCATAAAGGTAATGTGAACTGACTGATATTATCTCATAGAACAAAATGTATAAGATCTCCTAAGCCTGTGTTAACCTATTTTAGGCGTTTATCCCAAAACTGTTCTTTCCCCATTCATTTCCCCATAGGGATGGCTGAACGAACCAGAGGTAACTCATTTCCGGGTTTAAGGACTACAAGCTGGCGAGCTCTAGAGGAAACAGGGTGGCAATAATTTTGACCCCTATCTGTTTAAGATTTCTTTATTATTCTTTCTCTGAGACATTTTTTTTAGCATACAATATAGCTCAGTATTTGTATTATTTATTTTATAGCCTACAGTTTTTTTTGCTCATATATTTAAAGGGTGCCAATAATTATAGACCTGATTATACATTTCCATATCAAGTCATGGGATACTGTAAACCACTTAGAATATTTGTGCTCAGTTGAGTGAAATGGCCAATAGTTACAAAATATAGGAAACCACAATTCTGAACCCTAGCAGTGAAAGTGCAGCCTATGTGAAAGCTAGCTTTCATAGATTCTACAAGGACAGGTAGGCTAACTATGGTTATATTGAAAATAACGAATTGTTAGGTAAATATTCAAATTAATCTAAATACAAAACTGCTGCACTGATTGTGCTCTGTATGTAGGACTCACTGAGGTATAAAGAATCCTAAGACTACTGTAATGCTGCATTCATGACACATCGGAAACTCAGAAAATTTGAATAATAAACCTGGAGAACGAGTTGTGTGCATTCACGTGCTATCAACAAGCTGCGTCAACCATAAACGAGAAAAGTAGCCTACAGTTAAACAAATTAAAATGTCGCAGCACGAGGAAACCAGAGTTTCCCCATTTTTAATTACGAGTTGGAGGGACCATTCAATAGATTTTCCCCATTCGGAAGCTCGTATTTCCGACATGTCATGAACGCGGTTTTATCGTAACAACGACTCCTCTCAAGCCTGCCCTTATCAGACCACCGACGTCACCGTCGAGTCAAACACCGGTAGATGCAAATTGCAAACATACAACCAGAATCTCAAACCCATCGGTCGCAGGTAGAGAGAAAGGAAACCCACTTCAACCTAGACGTGACTCGGACAGCATTTTATTCATTTGCGATATCAAACACGCATAACGTTTATCAGGCCTTTGCTTTATGACTGTAATCTAGCCTATTTAGCTGTTTGACATCGCTCTGTTCCCTGATTCCTATTATGCCTTCCCAGTCTTGGTTTATCGCTGGTACCGCTCTCCTCCTCTTTCTTCGGCAGGCATTCGGGGCGAAGGGACCACATCCATGCACAGAGGTGAGATCCACTGGCAGGACGCCGATGTATGTTGTCGGAGTTATTTTTAGTAGCTGTATTTTCTGTAGGCTAATAATAGTACATACATGTTAGTGGAAAACACAGGATTGTGTTATTTACCAGTTTATCCATTCAAATAGAGAGTCAGAAGAGGAGTGTGAGTCAGGGTTCTACTGTGTAGAATAACATGAATGCTAAACAGTTATTATTCCACAGACCATTACTAATACGATTATGAAGTGATGACGCTGCACTTCCGGTCAGATCCATATGTTTATCTAAATATAAATCACACACACCGCTTAGAGAGAGGGAGATGCACTCCTTGACAACTAATTACTCATCCTGTTTCTCCAAACACCAGTCAGTCATGCATTCAGGTAGTCCTGTAGGATTTCTGTGGAATTGTTGCTTAGGACACTTGCACTGCTTAGGGCAATGTGTGACTGAGTTAGGTGAAGGGCTTCAGAGGTGTGTGTGTGTGCGCAGTGTTCTGGGTTGTGTTGTCTCAACACTCAGGGGAGACTTTGTCTTATCAGTTTCCTGCATGGAGCTGCCTTTCCTTCCCGCCGTCTCTCTCGCTCTCTCCACTCATCACCTCTGAGCCATAGCACATGGCTGGCTTATGTTACATTCAGAAGGACACAAACTCCAATTTACTGTCCAGTCACAGTGACTCACCAGTGAAGTATGCCTTGCATGGTGACACAAGGAGATTGCTAGCTGAAGTATCAGTTTATTAAAAGTAGTTCAACCAACGCCTCAAGGAGGAACTTGGATGCATGGAAAAGATGGACGTCATCACAAAAATGGATGAACCTACAGATTGGGTAAGCTCACTGGTTATTGTGGTGAAAAAGAACGGCGATCTCAGGATATGTCTAGACCCGAGAGATCTCAACAAAGCTATCAAGCGAGAGCATTTCAAGTTGCCAACCAGAGAAGAGATAATGTCGCAGTTTGCTGGAGCAAAGTGGTTCAGTAAGCTTGATGCCTCATCAGGATTCTGGCAAATGAAGCTAGATGATGCAAGCTCAAGGCTATGCACATTCAACACACCTGAGGGCAGGTACAGATTTCTTCGTCTACCATATGGGATTCTCTCAGCGCCAGAGGTCTACCTCAAGACAATTCACATGATCTTAGAGCACATTCCAGGAGTAGAGACCATGATGGACGACATCATCGTCTGGGGGTCCACAAAAGAAGAACATGACGCGGGAGTGAGACAAGTGCTGGACCTGACACGGAAAGTCAACCTGAAACTAAACAAGGACAAATGCGAGTTTGGTGTGAAAACACTTACCTTCGTGGGAGACGTACTTTCAGAGGATGGAGTCAAACCAGACCCGAGGAAAACATCAGCCATCAACAACATGGAGCGCCTACAGGCCAAAGCAGCAAGCAGAACCACTAATGCCTCATCCAGTACCCAACCAACCCTACTACAAAGTTGGAGTTGACCTTTTTGACTGCAATGGCAAATGTCACATTGTTGTTACCGACTACTACTCAAACTACCCTGAAGTAGCAACACTGCCAACTACCTCCAGCAAAGCTGTAATCACCTACCTGAAATCAGTCTTTGCAAGACATGGGGTTGCGTCTGAACTGTACTCGGACAATGGCCCGCAGTTCTGAATTCCGATCATTCGCTAACGACTGGGGATTCCGACACAACACCTCCGGCCCCAACTACCCAAGGTCCAACGGCTTAGCAGAAAGTTCAGTCAAAATGTTCAAAGATCTGATGAAAAAGGCACATGATGGAAAGGAGGACTTCCTAAAAGTATGATGATCTACCGCAGCGCACCGCTGCAGAATGGACTTTCACCTGCACAAATGTTGATGGGACGTCGCATCAGAACCAACCTACCATCCATGAGGACTTGCTAACACCCAGAGGTGCTCACAACGTCAAACTCACAAAGGAAAAACAGAAAGACAAACAAAAACAGTGACATTATAAAGGTGCAAGACACTTAACTGAACTGAAACCTGGAGATCATACACGACTCCGAGACATCACTACAGGAACCTGGGTGCGTGCAGAGAGAAGTTGCACCGCGATCCTATGAGATCCAAACAGAGCATGGATCACAACTGAGACAAAACAGAGTGCATCTAAGGCTTCAGCCATTCACTCAAGGTACTGAGGATCATCAGGAGGATACTGCTGTAGCGTCAAATGCCTTTACCAATGGACAATTCAGTCAGAACACCCTGACTGACAATGAACACTGTCCAACTGCTTCAGGAAGCACTTCAGCAGAATGACCAAAAATGACTGCCAGAGCCCCTGAAAGGCTTATTGAGAATTGCTTTTAAAAAATCTTTTAAAAAGGGGCACCTGGATTGGATGTTTCTGTTTATGTGAAAAGAAATAGAGCCACAATAGAGTATTTTTGGACAGAAACTGCATTTAGTTGAGAAAGAGAAAAGGGGAAAGAAATGTGTGTTATTGAAAATTGCATGTTTTGCAGGTTGAGTAAACAAAATGTTTAATTACAGAGAAAAAGTAGTTTTCTTTTAAAGGAAGGAAGATGTGTTATGTGTTAAAAACATGAAGACTACGTTACCCAGCAGGCTATGTGAGGGGGGAAAAGTTGAAGTATGCTTGCATGGCTACACAAGGAGATTGCTAGCTGAAGTATCAGTTTATTAAAAGTAGTTCAACCTACACCCCGGTTTGTCATTATTTAAAGGAACAAACATAACAACCAGGGCATTGTGGAATCTGTGCTCTGCACTTCCACAAGACTACCATTTCTACCACCAGAAAACAAGTATTCCGGCCTACATTTAGCCTGGGGCAATCTTGTCTAAATATCAGACTGTTACCATGGTTATTCCATGGATTATCAGTCTGACCAAAGTCTTCCTAAAAAAGACACAATAGTCTCTACAAGCCAGAATGTTGAATAAAATTATATTTACACTTACAGTGGGGAAAAAAAGTATTTAGTCAGCCACCAATTGTGCAAGTTCTCTCACTTAAAAAGATGAGAGAGGCCTGTAATTTTCATCATAGGTACACGTCAACTATGACAGACAAATTGAGAAAAAAAAATCCAGAAAATCACATTGTAGGATTTTTAATGAATTTATTTGCAAGTTATGGTGGAAAATAAGTATTTGGTCACCTACAAACAAGCAAGATTTCTGGCTCTCACAGACCTGTAACTTCTTCTTTAAGAGGCTCCTCTGTCCTCCACTCGTTACCTGTATTAATGGCACCTGTTTGAACTTGTTATCAGTATAAAAGACACCTGTCCACAACCTCAAACAGTCACACTCCAAACTCCACTATGGCCAAGACCAAAGAGCTGTCAAAGGACACCAGAAACAAAATTGTAGACCTGCACCAGGCTGGGAAGTCTGAATCTGCAATAGGTAAGCAGCTTGGTTTGAAGAAATCAACTGTGGGAGCAATTATTAGGAAATGGAAGACATACAAGACCACTGATAATCTCCCTCGATCTGGGGCTCCACGCAAGATCTCACCCCGTGGGGTCAAAATGATCACAAGAACGGTGAGCAAAAATCCCAGAACCACACGGGGGGACCTAGTGAATGACCTGCAGAGAGCTGGGACCAAAGTAACAAAGCCTACCATCAGTAACACACTACGCCGCCAGGGACTCAAATCCTGCAGTGACAGACGTGTCCCCCTGCTTAAGCCAGTACATGTCCAGGCCCGTCTGAAGTTTGCTAGAGTGCATTTGGATGATCCAGAAGAGGATTGGGAGAATGTCATATGGTCAGATGAAACCAAAATAGAACTTTTTGGTAAAAACTCAACTCGTCGTGTTTGGAGGACAAAGAATGCTGAGTTGCATCCAAAGAACACCATACCTACTGTGAAGCATGGGGGTGGAAACATCATGCTTTGGGGCTGTTTTTCTGCAAAGGGACCAGGACGACTGATCCGCGTAAAGGAAAGAATGAATGGGGCCATGTATCGTGAGATTTTGAGTGAAAACCTCCTTCCATCAGCAAGGGCATTGAAGATGAAACGTGGCTGGGTCTTTCAGCATGACAATGATCCCAAACACACCGCCCGGGCAACGAAGGAGTGGCTTCGTAAGAAGCATTTCAAGGTCCTGGAGTGGCCTAGCCAGTCTCCAGATCTCAACCCCATAGACAATCTTTGGAGGGAGTTGAAAGTCCGTGTTGCCCAGCGACAGCCCCAAAACATCACTGCTCTAGAGGAGATCTGCATGGAGGAATGGGCCAAAATACCAGCAACAGTGTGTGAAAACCTTGTGAAGGGTTGTTTACCCAACTTTTTGCAGCGCCAGTAGGTTCTGTCACTTTTATTTTCAGTCTCTTCACGCATTGCACGTGATGCACAATATATCAACAATAGCCGAACGTAGTCGACCGACGCATGTTTCCTCGCAATCAGCTGTGGTTCGGTTAGGCTCGGCCATATTGTGCAAGTGTTTGTCACGTGCAAATTGCATCAGTATTGAAAATAAAAACAGACCAACGTACTCAAAGTAGGGCTAATAACACTTCCCTGTGGATATTTTGTCTCAGATTACCTCCTTCATAAGGACAAAATCAGCAGACAACAGGTAAAATACTTTCAAATGAAGTTTATTCAATAGTCTTGTGATTGGACTGTTCACAAAAAGTAAGCCTACATGATAGAGACGAGAGAGGAGTCTTCCACTCTCAGATTCGTAGAGTCTAGGGGCAATCATCCTCCTGGAGCCACTGAATATGCGTGCATTTGCTCTCGCCTTGCCCTTTAGAACACATCTGATTCTGCTAATCAATGTCCTGATGAGCAGATGCTTAGAATAAGGAGTGTTGGAGCAGGGCTGGAGCAAAAGCCTGCACACCCAGTAGCTCTGCAGAAGAAGGGTTGGCAGTCCCTGGTCTAGTGGAATGTCTTTAGAATGACACCATATAAGAGAAAAACCTGATATATCAGTGCTTGAGGTATAGATCATTATCAGTTCAGATTTGTCCTGGAACAGACTTCTTCTCCTATCAGGTAACACATGACAGGTATGCAAAATATATACTTCTGTTGAGTTAATGTATGGAGGAATAGATAATTAAAGTTTATGGCCTGATTATTGATTGAAATGAATCTCAGTGATACATAGCTATCAGTTATTCCTGAGAGAAAGAGAGGGGGAAGGGGAGAGTTTAAGAAAGGTGGTAATAAATAAGTCAATACATTATTTGAAATCAATATCGTGAAACCTGGTGTGCATGTGGCATTCATTCATTTGCATCAAACCAGTACTGCTGTTGGATACAAATAGCGTCAGTTTTGAGGATGAAACAATGGTGTTACTGTAAAGCCTAGGTATGATTCTACAACTTCATATATCTGCCATGTGTCATGTCCATGAGGCCCACAACATGACCCCATCAGCACAGTGACCAGACACGTGTGTGTGTCCTTCTAAAAGGTCAACATTCCTTAGACATGGCAAAAAGCATGTTGTATTTCACTCAATGGTTTGGCAATTATTGGTTTGGCAAAATCAAGGGGCATTTTGGTCAGAATAGTGATTAAATGAGTCATGCTCTCTCTACAATTTCCCTAACCATAATGGTGAACCACATACTCCACAGCATGTTTGTGTGTGTGAGATAACACTTCAACAATGTTCTCACAGTGACAATTGCAAACCTTGAACTCAAAAACCTTAAATCCTCAGAACCTTTAGCAAGACTGAACCATCAAATTCCAATGCCTGGACATACAGTTGTCAGTGATTAGGGACAACTTCTACCTTCTCCATTATACTGACCTAGGATCAGTTTTTAGGGACAACTTCTATCTCATCCACTTACACACTGTGTGCTGTGTCTTAGTTTCCTGTATCCATAGTGATGGAATGGGGGTGAAGAGAGAGAATTCAGGGCCTTTGGTGGTCTTGGTGTTTACTGACCTCTCTCTGTCCCCATGTCTGTCTTTTCTCTGTATATCTCACTGTTTCTCACATACTGTTCAAAGACACACACACTCAACCCCTCTCTCTTTCTCTCCCTCACTGCGTATCCATGCTCTCTTGTGTTGCAGACAGACTACTACTATGAATATACAGAGTGTGACAGTACAGGGTCGCGATGGAGAGTAGCAATCCCTCAGAGCCATGGATCCTGCATTGGACTGCCCGAGCCTGTACGAGGGACAGAGTGCAGTAAGTACTGTGTGTGTGTCAGAGATGTTTCTCACACCCTCTTATCAGCTGGTTGGAATTTCCTCCAGTATTCCACAACGACCTGATTGACTCTTTGGCACTGCTCCAGTCATAGCACAGGGCAGAGCTGGCTTCATGCTTGAACAACAGGCCAATAACCTCAGAGCATCATACACACACACACACACACACACACACAGGTCTCACTATGTTTACTTATGAATGTTCACGGGGGTCTTGAGGCTGACTTTGCTTCCCTAAATATCTCTAACTGATGCATGTCTGTGGATAAGGTTTTATTGACATACACTCCCCTACATATTTATTTGGACAGTTAAGCTAAAACTTTTAATTTGGCTCTTTACTCCAGCATTTTGGATTTGAGATCAAATGTTTTATGAGGCGACAGTACAAAATGTCACCTTTTTATTTGTTCAAACATATCTGTTTTAACGTTGAGAAATGAAAGCACTTTATGCATCTAGTCCCCCCATTTGAAGGTGTCATAAGTATTTGGACAAATTCCCTTAGTGTATTACATTTAGTCAAAAGTTTAGTATTCCTAGCGCGCAATGACTACATCAAGCTTGTGACTGTACAAACTTGTTGGATGAATTTGTAATTTGTTTTGGTTATGTTTAAGACCAAAAAGCTAGTTTTTCTATTCATACATTTTTACGATATAGCAAATGTTGACTTTGTGGCTGTGCTATCTAGTGGAAACCCCTACCAGACCTTGCTGCTGCCCCCCACCCACTCAGCAACGATTATCTGCTCTCCTCCTCCATGTTCTCACTTCTCATCAATATGATGGCTCGTTGCAGTGACGTATGACAGCGTGTTCATAGATGTCCAACAATCTGTTGTTAACGCCACGTATGGTGTTTGAGAGCTCGCGCTTTGTACTTTCAGAGCAATAATTTCTCCATCCGGGCCATCACGTTTTTTGACATGGCTTCTTGTAGTTTGTTTCTAGACATGCCATTAGGGCAACATTGAAGCCGACATCCTCTACCATTGACAATGGCTGCATAGCAACTGCAATAATTTCTGTAATCAGCGTTATGATTTTCTCAGTCCGTCCCTTATCGCACTGCTGCCAGTGTAACCGGTGCTGTACTGCACTGCTGTAGCTCTGCATTGTGTGTGATTGATTGGGAGTATAGACGTGGACTTCGGAGATCAGTTTGTTCTAATGAATCAGAATTCTCTCTGCATCCAAAAGAAAAGACAAAACATTTGTAGATCACAAATATGTTCTGCCCATTGTCGCCTCTTTCTACAACATAGACACACAATACAAAGGACTGGGATCAGTCGAGGAGCTAGCCATCGTTCGCACATACAATACCTTAGCTAGCTAGTAACCCCATGTTGAATTCAAAATGTTAATATCATCCTAAAAAGTACAATTACAATTGCATCTTAACAATACCATCCACTTATGAGTAAACTCTAAATATACAACATTATTCATGAACATAACACTGTGTGTATGACTTTGTGCTTAAAGGAATCAAACTTTTCTGAAGACGACAGAAAAAGCGTGCCTACCTCTCATAGTGCATAAAAATTATTTGAGCACGAGCACGCAGGGCAAAACGTAAGTACACACTCCCCTATTCCCAGGATGCAGGCATGCATAATAACAAATCAACATGCTATATTAATATATGAACCTGGTGAAATTCACAAAGTACTTTAACAACTGTTACACCAGCAAGGGGTTGGGTCTCATGGTGCTTCCTTTTTCAGTATTGCATCTGTACTGCCACTGTAGCTCAATTCCACCTTGCAAAGCTTGCATTTCATCTCCCCCCTACTAATGTTATAGCATTGTTGCGTTATTTTTATTTTTATTTTAATTTTTTCTCTTTATGATAATGATCGCGACCTGTTAGTGGTAGTTTTGATGAAATTAGGGATTTTAACGATCCCAATTTCGTTTAAACGTCACACCCCTACTTTGTACAACCTCGCCAACGCACGCACCCCCATCCCCACCCACACAGCCCTTTTCACCAGGATGTGGGGATTAGTAGGTTTGTTTCCGTGGTTACAGGGGAGCCAGCCGAGGGCTGTTGTACATCTCTGAGCTGTATCCAGCCCAATTATGGACCCTGTTACTCCCCCTACCTTTGTTGTAAACAGAAGGTCTACCATTTTTTTTTTGCCAATACAATGTTATTGACATGATGCCTATGATCTCCTGTTTTGCACCATCCCTGACCTCTAACAAGCTCTGATACGTCCCCTCTCTCTCTCTGACACACTTCCAAACGGTGGTATACAGTGGCGATTTTAGCATGTAAATCTTGGTGGGGCAAACATCCATTTTTTTTAATGCATGCCAGCAAAGCCACTACACAACACTAAACAATACATTAATTGCGCTATAACGGTGACAAATGGTGCCCACAAACTGTTAGGGCCTACATAAAGCTGTCCCAACAGCAAAGCTTTCTTTTCAGCACCTTGGAATGAGTCCTTACCACAGCTACACCTGGCTATCAGTGGAGCCTTGTCTGGCAGCGAAACAGTTCATTCTGCCTCATTTACTGCCTTTAAAAAAAAACATAGCTGATGGCTGACTTGCTTAAACAAATGTGGTTCTACTGACAAATGAGATGTACAAACTATGGCATAAGGGGACGATGAGCGGATAAGAGGCAATCCGTAATTTTGATTAAGACATTAATGAGCGAGCTAGGACGGACGTAGTCAATATAGCTATTTGTTCAGCAGTTTTGAAATGTACAGCGACAGAATTCATTCTTACAGTATTCACGCTGTACACCAAGTCAGAACCGTAGGACAGATAAAGGGGGCATATAAAATCTTACAATATTCGATGATTACATTTCTCTAAAACAGGCTATAGGCTGTTCTGAGCACCACCAAGTCAGAACAGTAGGCTAAGTTGTGAGGGGGAAAGGGAACAAATTATTAGGGTCAGCCACATGGGCTACTAACAGCTTCCTACACAACATACACTTAGTATTACATTCTTAGCTACAGTATACATATCTCCCTGGCATATTACATCATTTACGCAGCAGCATACAATACATTTCTGGACCTTGTTGTGCTGTCCTCACTTGAACAGGAAGGTGGTGCGGCGGTCCTTGTGGGCAAATTGTCATCAAACATTGTCAGAGAATGCCAGACTTTGACGTCAAAATTTGCCCACAAGGACTGCCGCGCCACCTTCCTGTTCAAGTTTTCAAGACAACTGGGAACCCCAACAACAAAAAAAGAGGCCTGAGTTCCCAGTTGTCTTGAACTCACTGAAGTCTGATATTTCCCAGTTCAGAGTTTCCAGTTGTTTTGAACGCGGCAGAAGTCATGCTGGATTGACAGCATGGGCAATGTATTTGGCCATTTCTGGCCGATGGTGTTGAATGTTTATCCTTTTTAAGCTTGGAAAATAGAACCTTGAACCCAGACTTGGACCACACACCCACTCCGCTGAATAGCAGGCTAGTGATTGCTTTGCAACGGTTGCAGTTAGCCACTGATTCCTTCCAAACCACTCATGGTTGAATTTGTGATTTCCAACTTACTGTGTAATGTTTATGTCCAATGGCCGATGAGCACCGCTACGTTTTAACTATAATTTCTCTTCATATGACAAGGATTGAAAAGGATTTGCCAGTAGATTGTCGACGTGATTAATGATGATGACTGCTTGTCTAGCTTACTAGCTAAGATTTTGAAAGTATGATGTTGACATGATCAGTCCAATCAAAGCTACAGTAGATATAACGTCATTTTACTTCATTTTATCTGTGACAAATGACCTTGAGCATTCTTGGATGGGCACTTCTAATGTAACTCTATGACAGCACCCAAGGGGCTTGAATTTTCTTGCCCTCCCCATGAGTGACAGAACACTGAGCCAATCACGGCGCAACTAGAGAAAATGACCAACCCCTACGCTCTGTATTTTTCACTGGCTGCCCCACCACCACAGAAAGCACAGAGCTAGCCTTACTCAAGAAAGCAAAAAAGAGACCATGTTTGTATGCAGCTTTATTAACTTAATTATTATTCGTTTTTTACATTGTTTGCAAACTTTAATGTGACACGTATTAATGCCAAAATCAAATATACAGTACCAGTCAAAAGTTTGGACACACCTACTCATTCAATAGTTTTTCTTTATTTTTTACTATTTTCTACATTGTAGAATAATAGTGAAGACATCAAAACTATGAAATAACACATATGGAATCATGTAGTAACCAAAAAAGTGTTAAACAAATCAAAATATATTCAAATAGCCACCCTTTGCCTTGATGACAGCTTTGCACACTCTTGGCATTCTCTCAACCAGCTTCACCTGGAATGCTTTTCCAACAGTCTTGAAGGATTTCCCAGATATACTGAGCACTTGTTGGCTGCTTTTCCTTCACTCTGCCATTCAACTCATCCCAAACCATCTCAATTGGGTTGAGGTCGGGGGATTGTGGAGGCCAGACCATCTGATGCAGCACTCCATCACTCTCCTTCTTGGTCAAATAGCCCTTACACAGCCTGGATGTATGTTGGGTCATTGTCGTGTTGAAAAACAAATGATAGTCCCACTAAGCCCAAACCAGATGGGATGGCGTATCACTGCAGAATACTGTGGTAGCCAATGCTGGATAAGTGTGCCTTGAATTCTAAATAAATCACAGACAGTGTCACCAGCAAAGCACCCCCACACCATAACACCTCCTCCTCCATGCTTTATGGTGGGAAATACAGTGAGGGGAAAAAGTATTTGATCCCCTGCTGATTTTGTACGTTTGCCCACTGACAAAGACATGATCAGTCTATAATTTTAATGGTAGGTTTATTTGAACAGTGAGAGACAAAAAATCCAGAAAAACGCATGTAAAAAATGTTATGAATTGATTTGCATTTTAATGAGGGAAATAAGTATTTGACCCCTCTGCAAAACATGACTTGGTACTTGGTGGCAAAACCCTTGTTGGCAATCACAGAGGTCAGATGTTTCTTGTAGTTGGCCACCAGGTTTGCACACATCTCAGGAGGGATTTTGTCCCACTCCTCTTTGCAGATCTTCTCCAAGTCATTAAGGTTTCGAGCCTGACGTTTGGCAACTCAAACCTTCAGCTCCCTCCACAGATTTTCTATGGGATTAAGGTCTGAAGACTGGCTAGGCCACTCCAGGACCTTAATGTGCTTCTTCTTGAGCCACTCCTTTGTTGCTTTGGCCGTGTGTTTTTGGGTCATTGTCATGCTGGAATACCCATCCACGACCCATTTTCAATGCCCTGGCTGAGGGAAGGAGGTTCTCACCCAAGATTTGACGGTACATGGCCCCGTCCATCGTCCCTTTGATGCGACGAAGTTGTCCTGTCCCCTTAGCAAAAAAACACCCCCAAAGCATAATGTTTCCACCTCCGTGTTTGACGGTGGGGATGGTGTTCTTGGGGTCATAGGCAGCATTCCTCCTCCTCCAAACACGGCGAGTTGAGTTGATGCCAAAGAGCTCAATTTTGGTCTCATCTGACCACAACACTTTCACCCAGTTCTCCTCTGAATCATTCAGATGTTCATTGGCAAACTTCAGACGGCCCTGTATATGTGCTTTCTTGAGCAAGGGGACCTTGCGGGCGCTGCAGGATTTCAGTCCTTCACGGCGTAGTGTGTTACCAATTGTTTTCTTGGTGACTATGGTCCCAGCTGCCTTGAGATCATTGACAAGATCCTCCCGTGTAGTTCTGGGCTGATTCCTCACCTTTCTCATAATCATTGCAACTCCACAAGGTGAGATCTTGCATGGAGCCCCAGGCCGAGGGAGATTGACAGTTATTTTGTGTTTCGTCCATTTGCGAATACTTGCACCAACTGTTGTCACCTTCTCACCAAGCTGTTTGGCGATGGTCTTGTAGCCCATTCCAGCCTTGTGTAGGTCTACAATCTTGTCCCTGACATCCTTGGAGTGCTATTTGGTCTTGGCCATGGAGGAGAGTTTGGAATCTGATTGATTGCTTCTGTGGACAGGTGCCTTTTTATACAGGTAACAAACTGAGATTAGGAGCACTCCCTTTAAGAGTGTGCTCCTAATCTCAGTTTGTTACCTGTATAAAAGACACCTGGGAGCCAGAGACCTTTCTGATTGAGAGGGGGGTCAAATACTTATTTCCCTCATTAAAATGCAAATCAATTTATAACATTTTGACATGCATTTTTCTGGATTTATTTGTTGTTATTCTGTCTCTCACTGTTCAAATAAACCTACCATTAAAATTATAGACTGATCATTTCTTTGTCAGTGGGCTAACTTACAAAATCAGCAGGGGATCAAATACTTTTTTCCCTCACTGTGTGTGTATATATATATATATATATATATATATATATATATATATATATATATATACATACACACACACACATATATGTATGTATGTGTGTGTGTGTGTGTGTGTGTGTGTGTGTGTGTGTGTGTGTGTGTATGTATGTATATATAATAGCTAAACAGGTCAGGCTCTGCCCTGAATGACAGGTCGCCACTGGTAGTATACTTCTCTTATCTTTTCCATGAAATGTCCACTGGTTCACTCCCCCTTATGGAAGTAAGAGAAATGGACAGGTGTAAGAACTATAGTCGGAACTCCCTCTAGCCTTATGGAGGTGCCCACTTAGTTGTGCACCCAGTAATGTTTCCTTTGCTCTTTCTCCCCTTCTCTTTCCCCTCTCTTTCCCCCAGCATTTTCCTGTGAGGCGGGGGAGTTTCTGGAGATGTCTGCTCAGGAGTGTACTCAGTGTGCAGCAGGTACCTACTCTCTGGGCAGCGGCATTCGCTTTGATGACTGGGAAACCATCCCCACCGGGTTCAGCTCCCTAGCAACTTACCTCGACAATGGTCCCCATGGAGACGACAGCACTGCCTGCAACAGGTGTGGGAAGAGGAGGGGTTTAGCTTGTTATGATTTTTAAATCATAGTGTCGTTGCAGTTCTCACATACATCTCATGAATCTCTGCTGTGTGTGTGTCCAGTTCGTCGTGGTTCCCCCAGGGTAGTTACCTGGAGTCTAACAGAGATGAGTGTACTGTCTCTCTGATCTATGCTGTCCATCTGAAGAAACCGGGATCAGTCTCCTTTGACTACCAGTACCCAGACGGTAACCTCTTCTTCGTGTTCTTTGTGAGTCTTCTACTTCATTCTCTCATTTCTATGATATCTTCTAGTTAGTGAGAGTAAATTCTTCTCTGCAGTACCTTCTTGACCAAGTAGCGCTATAAATATGCTGAAGTGATATTAACTATTTTATATATTGATTGATTGTTTGATGTTCTGATTGGTTGGCAGGTCCAGAATGACCAGTGTCAGGAGATGGACCAGACTGCTGATAAGAAGTGGCTCAAGCTCACCAGTCACGGGGAGTGGGCCAAACACACTGTAAGAGCTGTGTTTGTTTGTAATTAAGTTCTAAGTCATGGTCCTCAAGACCCAAATTGAGTGCAAGCTTTTGTTTTAGCCCAGCATTAGCGCATCTGATTTCACTAGTCAACTAATCACCAAGCCCTTGATTCATTGAATCATGTGTGTCTAAGGTCTAAAGGGTTAGACAGCCTCTGAGGCTACAGCACCCTCTAGTGTCAAGTATTGGGATGCTTTCAGCTCGTATCTGTGTAGATGGGCATTCTAAACCCAGGTCTCTACTGTGTGTGTTCAAGGTGAATCTGAATTCTGGCACTAACATCTTGTACTGGAGGACAGCAGGGGTCCTGATGGGAGCTAAAGTAGTCAAACCTGTTCTGCTGAAGAACGTCCACATAGAGGGTAGGACCACCGTGTGTTTGTCATTATTGTAGTTGTTCATGTCAGTTCCCCTCTGTCCTTAAGTGTTATTTTCTCTCTTTAGGAGTGGCGTATGCATCTGAGTGTTTCCCGTGTAAACCAGGGACGTTCAGTCAAACCCCAGGCTCTTCCTCATGTCAGCCCTGTCCCAGAGACACCCACTCTGGCCACGGAGCCAGCTCCTGTACCCCCTGCAACACCACCACACTCTATGCACGTAGGCTCACACAAATATAAGCATGCTGACAAGTCTAGGTGCAGACACCTATACACAACTTCTGTTTTTAGAGTTAAAACATGAGTTTGAACAGCTTATTGGTTATATTACGGTTCTTTATCTTTTAAACATCTCTCCCTCTTTCACTGCACCCCCCCCCCCCCCCCCCCCCCCCTCTCTTCCAGCGGAGGGGTCAGCTGAGTGCAAAGCGAGACCACCATGCTCCAAGAAGGATTACTTTCAGATCCACACCCCATGTGACCTTGAGGGCAAGGTGAGAAAACCAACTCACCCTCCCAATACCACATCCATTATCGCCCGATTGCTTACACCTATTTAATCCTTTTTGATCTACACAAGTGCCCATGGAGGGGTTAGCCATTCTAGCTCCGGTATCCCTACAATTCACTGTCTGTCCTCCATGTTGGCTCTCTGTATGGTTACAGTTTCGTCATCCTCCATGTTGTCTCTGTGTGTGTGGTTTCAGACGCAGGTGACCTACAGGTGGGTGGAGCCTCAGATCTGTCTGGTGGGCGTGCCCGGGGCTGAAACACTGCCCCCCTCTGGTGACCGTGAGGCCTGCCCCCCCTGCAACCCCGGTTTCTATAACAATGACACAGCTACGTGCTCTCCCTGCCCCCCCGGGACATTCTCTGATGGGGTCAAAGGTGACGACAAAATACCCCTTTCTCCCATGTCCTCTTCTATCTCTCTTGTCCTCCTCTTTCTGTATTGCCTAATGGGATCTGGTTTTTATTTACGTTTGCTTTCCTACGTTATGATCTCTATTTCTCTCCCTCTTCTTTTACGATTCTCTACCTCTCTCCCAGCATGTGAGTCGTGTCCTGCTGGTACTGAGCCTGCTGTAGGTTATCAGTACAAGTGGTGGAACGTCCTTCCAGCAAGCATGAAGACATCCTGCTTCAATGTGGGAAACTCCAAGTGTGACGGCATGAACGGTGGGTGCAGCTGCTCTCTCTGAGGCCTAGAGGGTGTTGTTGCGCTTTGCTGTTTTTGACATGTTCCCCTTAGGCTATGGGGTGGCCAACCCTCCTTCTGGAAAACTGCTAGGTAGGCTGGCTATTACAGCAGGATGAGAATAAAGAGAGGGTAGCTCTCCAGGAGGAGGGTTGTGTACCCCTGCCTTAGGCACTTCCGCATAATGCATAGAGGGGCCACAGGCCACATTTGAGTTAAATAGTCAGGGAAGACCCTGGTATGTGTGCGTGTCGTGTGTGTGTGTGTTCTGACGTGTCTCTCCGTCAGGTTGGGAGGTGGCGGGGGATCATATCCGCAGTGGAGCAGGGGGCTCTGATAACGACTACCTCATCCTCAACCTCCATGTACCTGGTTTCAAGTGAGTCCAATCATCTCAATCTGTCTCTGTCTTATTGTCACGATACCAACATTTTACTAATGATACCAGGCCAAGTATCACGATACCAAGTAATATCACGATACCACAGGAAAAATAATTCTGAATGGCTTAGCGTCTTGTTCGCCTCGTTCCCCGGACGCTTGTTCCTGTTTTCTAAACGTTCTGTGCATGTACTACTCAAAAACCTGTCACTAATATTCGCACTTCTACGCAATGTAACACATTGAATTTAACTTCACACTGTTCACTGTATAATAGAATACTGCATAGAATGGCTGATTTGCAAAGGCTTACCTGTGATTTGGCTGGAAGAATGGGAGGAAATAATATAAATGCATAATGATCTGCATGTCATTGTGGAAGTAAGGGGAAAACACTGCATGAAACCATCTTACTCTTCAGTTAACACAAACCAATAATTTATCAAACCAATAATTAACGCCCTGGGATTAGTTTAAAATGGACCGCGACAAGGTTTGTGAAATTATATAAAATGTGATCGAAAGGTAGCTCCGGTAATATGGATCATATTTTTTTAATGGTTTGGCCTAGAGACGAGCTGTTTTCTTTTCTGTAAAGCTGCAAGCATGCTGCGTGACAGCGAACTTCCAAAGTCTACTGAGACTGGCCTGTGCTCTTGGTTAAACTTTGCTCGCTCTGTGCACTGCTCCAATGTATCAAATGTACAAATTTAACAACAGTTGACTCATCAGGGACTGCATCCCCACTCGCCATCATGGCTAAATTATATTTTTAAAACTGCTGGAGCAATAGAAGAGTGGACGCAGAGAACCTGAATGCGATGGCTGGTAGGGGATGTGGCTGGCTGATTACAGCTGCCACATGTAATATGCGTGTGAAAGTGAAGTGGACGTTACTGGACCGGCGCTGTTGCTTAAAATGTTTTACTGAATTTATTTTTACTGGCTTTATAAACATTTTATAACAGGCGCCAGCAAGTTCTTTAAATTGGTAGGTCCGAATAATTTGGTAGTATCATATGAAACGGTACTACTGTATCCTAAAATGTTTATCATAAGTATGATGACGTTTTGGTATCGTGATATTACCGTGGCACCGGTATACTGTGCAACACTACTCTGTCCCTCGCTCTCTCTCTTCCCCTCTCCTTCTATCTCTCTCTTAATGTGTGTGTGTGTGTGTCCGTGTCCTCAGGCCTCCTACATCAGGGACAGAGTTTGGCCGTATCAGCTTTGAGTTTGAGATGGTGTGTTCAGCTGACTGTGAGCTGTACTTTATGATGGTGAGAACAACACAGGATAAAGAAAAATCCACACTCAATGCAAAAAGTATACGAGAGCATCTAGAAAAGTGTGTGGGTATTTCTATTCCTTTAATGAATTTTGTAATTGGCATCTGGGAAATAGTTGGAGATGTGCACACTACTTTTGAACTGTGTAAAGGAAATTACATCACTCTGTGTAGGATGTAAACAGGAAGAGTACGAGGGTGGTGGCGTCATGGGAGGGCAGTAAGGTCAGACAGTCCTACACACACATCATGACCAAGAACGCATCTATGTCATACACCTGGGCCTTCCAGAGGACCAACCAGGCCTCTGACGTAAGTACACACACGCGCAGGCTCGCACACACACACTGTATACAAAATTGGATACTGCACTAATGTATACAGACACAATCATATACTAGTAGTGCATTTTCTCACTCTTCCTACTTTCATCTTTCTTTCTCTCTCTCTCTCTCTCTCTCTCTCTCTCTCTCTCTCTCTCTCTCTCTCTCTCTCTCTCTCTCTCTCTCTCTCCAAATCCCCCCCCCCCCTCCCCCAGGTGCGTCAGAATGTGAACAACGTGGCACGTATCTACTCCATCTCAGTGAGTAATGCTGTAGACGGTGTGTCGTCAAAGTGTCGGGCCTGTGCCCTCCTCTCCCAGCCCTCCGGCTCGCTGTGTGTGCCCTGCCCTCCAGGACACTACATACACACACACACCAGCCAGTGCACCGAGTGCCCCTCCAACACACACCTTACCTCACACAGCACCCTGGGGCCAGAGGCCTGCAAACCCTGTGGACCTTCCAGCAAGAGTAACAAGGTGTGTGTGTGTGTGTGTGTGTGTGTGTGTGTGTGTTATGAGTGTTTTGTTGATATCTGTGTCACAGCAAGCGTGTGTTTGTGTGTGTCAAGGTTGGTCAATAAAAGTGTGTGTCCATTGTTGATTCCCCCAGGGCACAACTGAATGTTTGTGTTTTTACAGGAGCACAGCATGTGCTACAGTGACTGTGTGTTCTCCTACTCTGAGAACAACGTGTCTCTGAGTTTTGACTACAGTTCTCTGGGCTCTGTTGGAACGTTAATGAACGGACCCAGTTTTACCTCCAAAGGAACCAAATACTACCACATCTTCAACATCAGCCTCTGTGGAGGAGAGGTACACGCACACACACGCACACACACACTGATTAACAATATTTGCAACCTACAATTACATTGTGATGCTGAATTGAGCTTCAAATTCTCAGGGTAGAAGGGCTGTGTGTACAGACAACGTGACTGACCTATCCAGCGCCGATTCTCAGAAAGACACAGGGGAACCAGCCAATGCGGTGGAGACTTTAGTCTGTCAATCAACCATTATCCCCTCCAGTGGGCAGGGCTTCCACACAGCACTATCCTCTCAGTCCATCAGCCTAGCAGACACCTTCCTGGGTGAGTACACACACACACACATTTTCCTTGTAACCTGATGCCGATCGTTGGCGCTGGTGTATAGTAGGCATTCATTTATTGATGGATGTGTGTAGGAGCGACAGTGGCCTTGACTCTGGATGGAGTCAAGGCAAGACCAGACCTGTTCCCACAGACCACCAACAAAGTCCCTGACGTCAACTTCTTCTACCGGTAGCTTTATGTTTTCTACATCCTAAAACACAAATTCTAAATCATAACTACTTCTGTGAATAGTGTTTTTGGGGCTCAACTAAAGGTTTGGGGTAGTTTTTAGTTGCTCTTAATCAGTAGTACCCTGTTGTTTTTTCACCAAATGTTGTGTTTCTATTGGATAGTTCTCTGGAGGTGACCTCGTCATGTGATAAAGGTCGTAATGTGGTGGTGACGCTTCGCTGTAACCCGGATAGAAGCACACAAGGAGAACTCACAGTACCCAGGTACTGTCTATCTGCCTCCTTTCCTCTCTTCTTGCCCCTCTCTCTCTTTCTGTCTCTTTTCCTCTTTCTGTCTTGCTCAGAAACTGCAGCCTCAAAGGAGATTACTAGTAAAGGGAGAGACTTCAAAAAAAGTCCAAGCTCGAAATGAACTGCAAGCTGAATTCACAGAAACTCTGCATCCTCTTGTGACTGTTAAATTAGTAAGAAGCTGTTTGCTTTTACTACAAGGCAGCTAGTTATCTAACTCTGTGTGATGGAGCTTCATGCTGCATGCTGGGGGAATACGGGAAGCTGAGAACACACATGGATTTATCACTCAGATTTGATCAGATTACATCTAATTGAAACTGTCCTTATAACGTAAAGGTTAGATTAGTACATTGTAGTAACAGTGACAGTATGTTTCTCTGTTGTAGTCAGTGTCCGGCGGGGACGTGTGATGGCTGTACCTTCCACTTCCTGTGGGAGAGCTTGGGGGCGTGTCCTCAGTGCACATCCACAGACTACCACCAGATAGAGGGAGCCTGCAAGGGAGGACTACAGGTGTGTGTGTGTGTGTTACTAATCGATACCCTGCAGGGAGCTGCTATCTGCTCTCACTCTGAATCCTTTAGAAAAATGTTCTCTTTCATAGCATTACACACTCACACATGTTCACTGTGTCCCTCTCCCCAGGACACTCTGTATGTGTGGACTGAGCCAAAGCGGTGTGTAGGAGGGGTGTCCCTCCCAGCGATGAAGACCTGGCCATGTGAGAGCATGGACTTCTTGGTAAAGATGGGGGCGACTATAGGAGCCTTCACCGCCGCACTCCTCTTCTCCATCACCTGCTATTTCTGGAAGAAGAACAAGAGGTAGGAATTCATTCATTCTTACATACATATGTTTGGAAGAAGTACTAGAGTAGTACTGAAGATTGGTGATTTTTCTAAGTCCCGCCTACCCCTGACTCTGGTAGGCTGGAGTTTAAGTACTCGAAGCTGGTGATGTCGTCCAATAAGGAGTGTGAACTGCCGGGGGCGGACAGCTGTGCCGTGATGGAGGGAGAGGAGAACGAGGGAGAGATGGAGGACGAGGTGGTCTACTCCAAAAAAACATCCCTGATACGCAAACTCAAAGCCATCGCATCTAGGGTAAGAGTCAGATCCACTATGCAGCTATGCAGAAATCAAACTACATTACCTACATGTGTGGGTGTGTGTGCACGCATGGTGTGTGTGTGTGTGTGTGTGTGCAGAATCTGTTTCTCCCATGGACTAATGTGTGTCTGTGTATTTCATCCACAGGGAAACAGAAGAAGCTATGAAAATGTCCAGTTGAACTCCTCACAGTCAAACGGGTTGGTGTGGGGGTGAAGAAAGATGAAAGAGAACAAGGAGAGAGACCAACCCCCAGAGAGACTTCTTCAACATATCTCCCATGTTGAGGGTTTGAACCCTTAATACACACACACACACACACACACCCAGAACATACATAGACACATGCAGAGTACACACACCCAGAATGCATGCTCACCGACACAAACACATGTGAAAGGACATTATACCCATCTGGCCTTATCCCTGGAAGGGTGTGTATGGGTGGATTGCTGGCATATGGGCGGTGTGATTTTTAAAGGGTGTGTATGGTGGGGTATATGTGTGGTGTGTCGGGTCTGCTTAGGTAAAAAAAGAGGACCTTTTATGTGGGATGTTTTTTGTGCTGTTTTTTTCCGTCACTCTGTTGTCAGGTAGCTTTGGGGGCCATGTTGTTTTCCCTCAGGTGATTTGTCCTCTGAGACCAACCTCACATCAACCCTTAGGCTCTTTCTCAATAATCTGGATAAGAGGAAAGACATGGTGTTCCAAAGTGCCCTCTGAAAGGCTGGGTGGGATTTATGCATGTTGGCACGTGTCCAATCCTTTGAGATCTACAGAAGTGCACACATAGCCCTAAATACCCAACACACACACACACACACACACACACACACCCTAGTACAGTCTCATCTTAGTCTGACCTGCACCACCCGTTACCCATTTGTTCTGTCTGTAGGCTTTGGGTTACCATGGTGATGGTGGAGTGTCCTTCAGCCTCTCTTAGTCCAATATGGAGTGGTGATGTTACATTATCCATGTAATGATACAATATGATGCTGACTGCCTTTCTGTTATTTAAAGTGAAATAAACTATATTGTATTTGTGTACACTTTCAATCTGTCCCTTGCTTCCGATGAAAATCCTACACACAAGAAGCCAGCAGACAAGACAGGCGTATCATTTGTTATTGTTTATTATGATGTCATCATGTCCTCGTTATTGCACGTATCATGAGCTCTATTGCTTTGTGATTGGCCAGTCCAAAGAGGTCAAGGTTCACATTGACCCCAGATCTAACCACTGATCCAGATACGTTGTCATCCTCTAATGGATAAGGTTAGGATTGAGAATAGGTTAATCTGATCCTAGATATGTGGTTATAGGAGCAACTTCTACCTTGACTCCAGAATGTTCTGGGTTGTTCTCTTGGGAATCTGGCGATCACTGACCCATTCCAGGTGAGAATACGCTGTGAAAGCGAACAGATACTTTGATAACATTATTAAAGACACCTTTGGACAGAGTTGGTACCATTAGCATTGACACTTATAATGGTAAAAGACTGACTGTTAACTTCACTGTTTTGTTGTAATGTTCTACATTGCTAGTGAATGACCAGTCACTTTCCTAGCCTATTCCCATATGTACACATTACAATCCCTGACATCTGTTGGTCAAGTTAACTAATACAGTAGTATTTTTAAAAGGGACTAGATTTATACCTCATATGATTTTTACAGAATGCCACTGCTTTGAGTTGAACACAGCTCACACACAATCTGACTGCAACACATTCTGACTCTCTCCATCCCTCCCTCCATCTCCACCCTCCTTTTCAATCTCTCTATCCCTCTTCAATCTCCTCAAGGCCCCTGCTGTGACAGCCCCATGTCCTTGGTGTGTATTTGAGTCAGTATGTGCTTGGCATGATGGAGCGGGCTCGCAGAGCCCTTCTTGGCATCGTGTTGCAGTGGGCTCAGGATCCGTACAGCGCCTGTCTTAAGCTATCTTGGAGCTGACAAATATACCAGCAAAGTTTCACAAGATAAGAGAGTGAAGGGGGACTGCCATGGGTGACAGAGAAATATGGGGAGACAAAGAGAGGGGGGAGAGATGGAGAGGGGGAATGTGGAGAGTAGGTTGGTTGAGAGAGTTTTCTGCCAAGTCCCATCATTAAAGACAACTTGAGTTTGAATCAACATCCCCCTCCTTGACCCTCCTCCCTTCTTCATACTCGACTCCCCCATCCCACTACATCAGAACAAAAGGAATTGTGGATGTGGCAGTGGTTGTTCATAGCAACGTGCCATGCAGGGAGGGGAGCGAATGGGAGGTATAGTATCTGGTTGGAGCAGGGCTGGGGAGTGAATGCATAAGCCTCGGGACAACAGCCTCCCAATCTCTGGGCTGTGTTAGTGTGTGTCTGGGCTGAACATGATGCTGTGCCTCCTGGGCCATGGGACGCTTTTACATAATCCAGCTCCTCTCTGCCTGCTGCAAAACACACATACACAAACGCTCAATCACAGAAACGCTCTCTTATTTTTGTTTTTCACCATTGCTTAGCCTTTGGGGAAATGGTTTGACTGGTGACCTGCGTCAGGGGTGTAACAGCGGTTTTCACACCCCAGTAAAACCTGTTAGCAGAGAGGGGTGTGGCCTCATTCTCCTGGACACTTCCTGTGTTTCACACAACAGAAGAGTGGGATGAAGGAAAGGAAACGAGGAGAGGATTCCATTTAAGACATTCGAGAGCATCCAAAATATCTGCTTTCTCTCCCACCTCCCATCAACAATGAGAACTTGGGAGGATATAGTAACACTGGGGGTAGGATGACTTTAACCATGGACACTGATCTAAGCTGATCCTAGATTTTTGCCTATAAGCACAGCCCCTACCTGGATCATAAATCTAGCAGACACACATTAAAGGAAAACTCCACCCAAAAACTATCTTCTGGTATTTGTTTCATTCGTCCATTGTTGATATAGTCCCAAAATGTTTTGCATGTCAGAAATCATGTTTTCAAGATATAAATACATTTTGGGACTTTATCAACAATGGACTAATGAAACAAATACCAAAAGTTCATTTTGGGGTGGAATGTTCCTTTAAGGCACATAGCCGTTAATAGAACATCATCACATGACTACAGGACACTTCGACAAGGAAGGGCTCACAACCCATTGGTTTAAAGGATGCAGGGAAGACGTGTTCAACTGCACTTGTTCAGCGCAAACTCTTTTCTACAAACAGTGCTTGTGGAACGATTTGATTGAATGTTTCTAAATGCTAAACGAAACATCAGTGACTGAGTTTAGGGTTGTGGCATAGCATCTGCAATGTTTCTTTAATATTGACAATAATGGCAGTTAAGACTTTGAACAGTCACTTGTAATTAACTACCTTGTGTTGTCACACTGTTGCTAACGTTTGTGCCGAAAATGCAGGTTAAAGAGAAATGTTGTTGCGTTGTTGTACACATGTCTGTTACTATGGCCATCAAGGTAATTGGACCCTCCTATACAGTGGCTGGTCCATAGAATTAGAACGAGTAGAAAGGACATTCCAGTTCAAAACAATGGTCCATATTGGGTGGACTGGCTGCCATATTGGGTGCATCTTTTGGAAAGTTCAATAAATATTATATACTGCTATATTTTGTACATTTACATTTTAGCAGACGCTCTTATCCATCGACAGATTTTTCACCTTATCGGCTCGGGGACTCGAACAGAACTTCTACTAGTGCTGTCACTAGATATGCTTAAAGCCCTATATGTGTGTGTGTGTGTGTTCCTCACCAGCCTGCATCTTCTTAATCTCGTTGCGGGCACACGGGTCGTTGCACTGGGATGGGGGCACCACCTCCCTTGGCCAGCAAATCAGGTCGCTGCTCAGGCTCAGAGTCTCCGGCCACTCACCAATGGCCACGTATCGTAGCGATCAGCGTTGTGCTGGTAACTGAAGATGTTGAACCAGCGACCTTTCAGTTACTGGCCCAACCCTCTAACCACTAGGCTACCTTCCCCCTATATGCTATAATGAGAGCAAATGTGTGATTCAACATACTATATGAAATTTGGATACTATGTCCGTTCCAGACTTTCTATTCCTATGGGCTTGTCAGCCCAACTCAGGGAGCTTCATCCACAGTCAGTCCACAGTAGTGGGAATCCTACTGGAGTTATGTAATACTGTCAACATTGTGCTGTTCTAACCATGAGTAATATTATATACATATATACAGATACAACATATACAACATACAAATACATACAAATGCATACTGACTGGCTTATTACAATGAGACCTACAAAAAAGAGTACAAAGTCTGTGGGCTATTGCAGGTGAGGCTGTCTCAGCCACTACCCCTACAGAACATCTGTTCTCAGACACCCCTAACACACACACACACACACTCCTTTCACAACCCTAACACACATACACACACACACTCTCCTATCACAACCCAGTGCACAGTTATTTATGTACACATCGTCTTAACAAAACTATTCAAAACAAAGGCTAAAAAAATCCTCCTACAAAATTGTTTTGGTTCTTTTGTTTCTCTACAACAATTTCGATTCCATTATATGTACAGCACTAGAAAACAATGTAATAATAAACACTTTCTACAGACGTGAAACAGTACTGTTCTAGTCCACGTGGTGGGAGGAGGGGACGGGGACATAATGTGTTCCTATTTGCTAACAGTCTCTGGGGGGCAGGGTTAGAGAGGTGAGTGGGTGTGGTCACAGAGAGGAAGTGGTGGAGTCGACAATCTCTCTCCCATTACACACTGTCGGTACGTACTGGGCACTCACTGATGCTGGAGAGAGAGAGAGAGCGAGAGAGAGAGAGAGAGAGAGAGAGAGAGCGAGAGAGAGAGAGATTAAGAAAAATGGGAAATTGAGTTCAATTCCACCTTGGCTAGATAACGAACCATGCTCAGTGGTCAGTGTCTCTGACTGTAACTTAACCATACCGTGTGAAGCGTATGTGGTGGCAGGACCACTGACACTGAAGCGGTTGATATTGAGGCGGAGGCTGGTGACATTCTTCTGTGGTTGGAACATGATGATGTGGACCTTGGGAGCGAACATACAGCCCAGCACCACGAAGCCACTGAGACTGACAGAGATACACATGGTGGTGGTCTGGACCTGTAGAGGGAGACAGAGAGCATGGTAACGCCATGGAACAGAGGTGCAGAGGAAGGAAGAGAGGATGCTTTTTATGGACATATGCATGAACAGACACAAAAGCACACACAAATGTGCGTGTACCCGCTTCATGTACAAGCGCACACGCACGCACGCAAACACACACACACACACACACACACACACACACACACACACACACACACACACACACACACACACACACACACACACACACACACACACACACACACCATCTCACAGGCAAGGCCATGGTGTTTGTGTGTCTCTCTCTACCTCACAAGTCAGATTACCAAGGCCAAAGCAATTCTTTCCACAGCCTAAGGCTGTGTGTGTGTGTGTGTGTGTGTGATTTGTAAGGATCAGGTAAACACATACCCTCCTCTTGCTCTGCTCGTCGACAGTTTGTCAGTACCTGGCAGTTCTGTCTGTGAGGGACTGCTTCTTGGATTAACATTATTATACGGGTGCCCATAAAACAGTTAGCATGACCTGTCAGGACAGATATCCTGCAGCCAGCGACAGTGGAAGACAGCAGTGTGTCTTATTAAAAAGTTTGCCCTTATGTTTGTTTATGGTGAATATAATGGTTGTGTACATACAGTATGTGTGTTTATGTATGAACCTTGCTCTCACCCTGTAGTCACTGGATGTGACGTAGAATATGGGCAGGAAGGCTAGCCAGATGATACAGGTTGTGTACATGGTGAAACCTATGAACTTAGCCTCGTTGAAGTTCTCTGGACACTTCCTGGTCTTGAAGGCGTACCTAGGATCCGATAAAGGAGACGAAAAGAACGAAAGAATAAACAAACCTCCAAGTCTTATGCAATAAACACAATTATAAACCTTCAGAAGTCTACACACATAGACACACACACCACCTCCGCACCACCTACACAGTACACAGGATGACCAGGAGCACGTCGTATCCTAGCGACAGCAGCATGCTGGAGTCACGGACGTTACACTTCAGGATCACTGTCTGCCGTCGCTCTGGTAACGTAAACCTCCTGGTACCAGGAACCTCCAGCAGCAACCACACTGACACCATCACTAACTGGACTGATATCAGACTGAGACAGATAAACACCTGGGGGGGGAAGAGAAAGATCGAGAGAGAGAGAGAGAGAGAGAGAGAGAGAGAGAGAGAGAGAGAGAGAGAGAGAAGAGCTACACCATCATCATCTAAATTATCCATCCCTAACCTGCCTCCATCTCTCCCCTCCTTCCATCTCTCCCTACCTCCATTCCTCTATCTCTCCGTACATCTCTTCTCTCCCTCCCTCCCTCTTCTCTCCCCCCTCTTCTGACAGCTAGGATGACCTCTGACCTGAGACGTGGGGCTTATGAAGCGTGGCTTCGTGGTCCCGCCCCCGTCCTTCACCCCGCTGAAGATCCGGGCGATCCGATTGGTCTTGGTGAGCAGGGCGGAGTAGCAGACAGCGAATGAGGTGCTGAGGCCGAGGCGTCGCATGGCGCAGATAGCAGGCGAGGGCTTGGCCAGGAAGAGGAAGGTGAGGGAGTAGGACATGAAGACACCCAGCAGTAGAATGTAACACAACTCTCTGCCTGACGCCTTCACCAGGGGTGTGCTGTTGTGTCTCACAAACACCCAGAACACCAGAGATGTACACAGGAACCTGCACATGGAGAGTAGATCAGTTTCGGTTTACATTGTTGAATCCCCTTTGGGAAATGCGTCTAGTGTTAGTGCTGGTCCTGAACAAAAGCCTGCACTTTAGACCTATGCCAACTGATGAGACTATCCCTCTTCCTCTCCTCTAACTTCTCACCCAACAATGGCGATGCTGATTGGTCCGATAGCCCAGGCGTCCTCCCACATGATGTAGTCCTCAGGCAGGTCGTAACAGGAAGTGATGTCTTCACTGGGCCACTGGCCAGGGGCGCAGGGTGAACAGGTAAACTCATCAGCTAGGTACTCATGAGCCTCACACGCCGTACAGATCCAACAACAGTACTCTCCTACAAGATACAGGAATAAAACAAATACATTACCTTAGGCAGCGTTTATGTCAGAAAAGGAAACATGGATGTTTACATGAGAGCCAGCTGCTCCAATCATTTCCTTCTTCCAAAACAAATTACACTTAAAGTTCTACTAGTGCTGTCACTAGATCTGCTTAAAGCCCTATGTGTGTGTGTGTGTGTGTTCCTCACCAGCCTGCATCTTCTTCATCTCGTTGCGGGCACACGGGTCGCTGCATTGGGATGGGGGCACCACCTCCCTTGGCCAGCGAATCAGATCGCTGCTCAGGCTCAGAGTCTCTGCCCACTCACCGATGGGCACGTATCCGTAGCGATCAGCGTTGTGCTGGTAACTGAAGATGTTGTAGCGTCCCATCCCGTCGCCATAGGGATCAAACTTCACCACGGTCTCACTACCGAGAGGAGAGAAGGGAGCTAAGAGAGAGAAGGGGGACAGAATGAGAAAGAGAGAGAGAGAAGAATGAGGAGAGGAGCAGGGGAGTGAAAGAGAATGGTAGGGCATTAGAGAAGAAATATGAGGAGAGAAGATAAGAAACAGAATGGAACTAGTGTCAGGATTTCAATTTCAAAGTCGATTTGAACAAAGCAGTGTCACACAGAGGAGTGTATTGAATTCCAAGACATACAGCACCTACAGAGCCAGTCGCAGTGACAAAGTGAGAATGTAACAAGTGTTTCTGAAGCTTTAGACCTGTGTAACAGCATCTCACTGAGGTCAATATACTGTACACAACAACACAACTGCAGAGAGTAGAAGCTCAGAAGAAACACAGCTTTATGAGAGTGTCACAGCACTAATGTTACTGACTGGGTTTGAACCCCTGTCGTCTCTGTACCGCAAAGCCAGTCGAGCTAAAGCCTGGACAAAATGTATAATTGTGTGAGTGTGGTTTACCGAAACTCCATTGCAAGAGGAGACGCATGATGGGTGACTGACTGATGTTTACCCCTCTGAGGTAGGCCTATACAGAGCTGTGAGAATGTTTCCATGACCAAGATGGAGTCAGAGTGTGTTTACTGAGGGGCTGTAAATGCTCAGTGTGTCATAGTGAGGCCTGTTTCCCCATGACACTGTTTGTTATGTGCTTGATATAGACCCTGTGCTTTACATGCACCTCAGGATCAGGTCATACAAGGACAACCATCTACGGTACACTTGGTACTCTAGAGGAAACTCATGAGGCCAGGTTAAGCCAAGCCCTGTGTGTGTGTGTGTGTGTGTGTGTGTGTGTGTGTGTGTGTGTGTGTGTGTGTGTGTGTGGTGTGTGTGTGTGTGTGTGTGTGTGTACGTGTGTGTGTACGTGTGTAGGCTCCGTTGGGTCCTATTCTAACTGGTTTAAAGCACATGTTTTTTAACATGGTGGCAGTTTGGAACTAAAGCTGACATCGTCGTGTGTGTGTGTGTGTGTGTGCGAATGTACCTGCGTTTGTTAGTCTGTGTATGTGTGTGAGCGTACCTGTGTTTGTTAGTGTGTGTGTGTGTGTGTCTGCTGACTAGGACTAAAGCTGTGATAGCTGTGAAGACTCAATGAGTTGAGAGAAGAATGGAGTGTCAGACCAGAGAGGTTTTAGGGCTTATGAAATCCATAAATCACAAAGACAACCTGAGTATCTCTCTCCCCCTCTTCTCTATCCCCCTCTTTCTCTCTATCTCCACCCTCAATACATCCCTCCCTCTCTCTCCTCTCTCTCACTCACAGAGGATATTGGCAGTGTTTAGGCTCTTTCCGAGATAAAAGTTAAATGATTTCAGTAAGGAAAAGCTGATAAGATCTTAATACTGAGAAAAGCTGAAAATTCTTAATACTGCAAAATACAGCTAATCTCTCTCTCTATAATAAAGCAATAAGGTTAGACACACAGAGACACACACACACCTCCCTCATTATCATAACTGCACCCTATTAGCATATCAGCTTTGTTTAAAAGGTTAATTGGCCACATTATGATTATGTGTTAGAGCTGGTGTGCTGAATTCCAAATCAACCCCTTGTCCCTACACCCTACTCGTATAGTCCCTCACTCAGATATACATTAGTGGTTCAGCCCTGGGTAAGGGGTAAGTTGTTTGAGAATTCAGGATTAGTCTACTGTCTGTCCATAGAGGGCACTCGAATGTCTCTGATTCAACACCAGTACATCATAAACACCAAAGATACACTTCTATTCTCTACAGAGACCTGAGACCTTGCTGACAGTCAGTACATGCATAACACTGCAAGGTATAGCCACTCCAACGCTACTGGAGAAGATTTTGATGACTGTGTAGATCTGACAAAGACAAGGTGGTAGAAAAACAACAACAACAGAAAACCACGAACAGAATGGATTTGGTTGCTATCAGATCCCCACCCCCACCAGTAGAGGTATTTTGTTTCTATGGCTGTGGATTCTGGTTCATTTAGGTTTGGTGCCTTGTGGGAATGGAAGCCTGTGTCCACCGTTCACTCATACTCACATGTCAGTGCACACACACACACTCCTAACAAACCCGTATACTGTTCGTCCTGCAACTTCCTATAAGATGTTCTATGTGACCCAGTATCTGACCATATCCGTCTAGAGAACATCAGTAGCCCAGAGTAAAGACACATCTCTCCCCTCAGCTTGTTCTAGGTTAAGAGCTCTGGGAGACTGTCCAGTTCAGGGTCCGAGGTTGGCACGACTCTCCCCAGGTCTCCCCAGCAGTATCTGCTGTGCTGAGAGCTTTAGTGGAATGAATAACTACCGCCATAGTCCTCTCTGATGTTGGAAAAGGGCTGAAGTCTGCAGCTTTCCATTAGACAGTAAAACACTGAACTGCACTGCATTCACATGTAGAGCAAATCTGTCCACACCATCGGTCTATTGTTTACTCTCTCTCTCTCTCTCTCTCTCTCTCTCTCTCTCTCTCTCTCTCTCTCTCTCTCTCTCTCTCTCTCTCTCTCTCTCTCTCTCATAAGAAAGTTAGAAGAGAAAAATACAGATAGAGAGTTTTCTGAGAGCAAATGCATAGTTTAAAAACATTCATAACTTGACTTGTAGATGAGAGAGTATTTATTATTCTAGATTAATTAAAAGTAAGGGGAAACAGGGCTTTCATTCAGAAGTTCAGAAATTAATTACACTCTCGACCATGTAGGGCTAACACGCTGGCCGCAGGGGATGCTGGGTATTACGGGGAGGGGGGAAACCAATCCCCTTTAATCCAATGATGGGGGGAAGAGAGGGAATACATAATGTGATACTGCAGAAAGAGAGAGAGAGGGAGGGGGGTGAGAGAGAGAGAGAATGAGGGGGTGAGAGAGAGAGAGTGTACCTGTCTGACTGTTGATTAGCTGATGTCACCACACACTAGGGGACAGCTAACATTTAGACAGTATACGTTTTGTGCAACATATGCTCATATAATCTCAGCCTCTCATCTCCTATCCTCTCCTGTGCTCTCCTCTCCTGTGCTCTCTCAGCCTCTCAACTCCTCTCCTTTCATCTCCTCTGCTCTCCTCTCCTGCGCTCAACTCTGCTCTGCTCTCGTCTCCTGCACTATCCTCTCCTACGCTCTCCTCTCCTCTGCTCTTCTCTCCTGCGCTCTCCTCTCCTCTGCTCTCCTGTGCTCTCCTCTCCTGCACTCTCCTCTCCTCTGCTCTCCTCTCCTGTGCTCTCCTCTCCTGCGCTCTCCTCTGCTCTCCTCTCCTGCACTCTCCTCTCCTCTGTTCTCATCTCCTGCGCTCTCCTCTCCTGTTCTCTCCTCTCCTCTGATCTCTTCCCCTGCGCTCTCCTCTCCTGCACTCTCCTCTCCTCTGCTCTCCTCTCCTCTGCTCTCCTCTCCTCTGCTCTCCTCTCCTGTGCTCTCCTCTCCTCTGCTCTCCTCTCCTGCGCTCTCCTGCGCTCTCCTCTGCTCTCCTCTCCTGCACTCTCCTCTCCTCCGCTCTCCTCTCCTGTGCTCTCCCTCCTGTCTCCTCTCTGGCTCTCCTCTCTCTCCTCTGTCTCCGCTCTCCTCCCTCTCCTCTCCTGGGTCTCTCTCCCTACCTCTCTTCCTCTCCTCGTCTCTCTCCGCTCTCCT